ATAAAATGTGTTGTATTCTTATAAAAAAGTTTTAGGGGCCGGCCTGTGGCTTACTCGGGAGAGTGCAGTGCTGATAACACCAAGGCCACGGGTTTGGATCCTATATAGGGATGGCCGGTTAGCTCACTGGGTGAGCGTGGTGCTGACAACACCAAGTCAAGGGTTAAGATTCCCTTACCGGTCATCTTTATAAGAAAAAAAAAAAAAAGTTTTAAACTTCAACTGTTTTTTCTTTGAAAAAAAGTTTAACATGTTTATTTTTTTTAAAAAAAAGCATTACATAAAAGAACAAAGTATAAAAATCACTCACAAGTCAAACAACCAGAAATAAGTACTATTAATAACTGTGAATATTCATTTCAACCATCTTTCTTAAGTATATAGACATATATACAAATAGTTTTACAAAAGTGGGCTCATATAATAAATGTGAGGGTACTTCAGAAAGTTCATGGAAAGATTCATACTATCTTTTAATTGTTTTTCCACAAACTTTCTGAAGTACTCTTATATAGAAAATTAATTTCACTTGGATTTAACAGAAGGAATACAAATGTGAAATTGAAGAACTGTTCAATTTAAATAACTTTTTTCACAAGAGAATCTAATTCTAAAAGATTCCTCCTAAAATTAAGGACAATCGTGGAAAACACTAAAGAGGCTGGAGTTTTTTTTTTTTTTTTTTTAAAAGTTTCATGAGTTTTGATTAGACTATGTGAGTCCTGGTATGAGAGATGAAACCAGCACAGTCAAGAGTTTCTTACTTCCAGTTATATTATTTCTTTATAGGTAATGTTCATAATACTTAATTTGAACCTTATAATCATTTCCCATTTTTACTAGATTTAAAAATGGGATTTGAATCCATTTATTATTTTATTTATTGAATCAAAATCGATTATACATATTTTGGGGGTTGAACATTGAGACATGTTGATTAAATCAATATTACTAGCATATATATTGTTACAAATCGTAATTATTCTTTATGCCCCTTGTCCAACCTCTCCCCGTCCCCCATTCCCTCCCACTCCCCAATCTAATTGCCCTAGATTTCTTCTCTCCTTCTGAAAGAATAATGGTTATTCTGTTAACTTGTTGCCTAGATGATCTGTCCAATGCTGGGAGATGTGATCAGGTCCCCAATATTATCATAGAGCAGATGCTTCTTCTGTCACACTGGAATGGGCTTTGTGGAGACATCCTCTTCTTTTCTTTGTCTCTGCTGGTGATTCTTCTTGTGTGAATGCACTCCAGTGGTTGGTGGACCATCTGTGTGATGGCTGTAGAGTTTAGCCACTTTTGCAGCAGCCACGGTTATTGTTGTGGGCCACCCACATGGAGGTGCTGTTTTTGGCATGCTCCTTGGCAGTGGTGGTATGCCTGGTTGTGGGGTGTGTTTGGTCCCCTTCTCCATGCCTCTGGTCCCTGGGCAGGCCCCAAGGCGCTGGCGCCATGTGCCTGGTTGTGGGAGAGGGGCCCAGTCCCCTTCTCCATGTCCCGGGTCCCTGGGCAGGCCCTGAGGTAATGGCGCAGTGTGCCTGGTTGTGGGAGGAGGGTCCGGTTCCTTTCTCCATGCCTCAGGTACCCAGGTGGGCCCCAAGGTACAGACATTTTGTGCCTGGTGTGGTAGGAGGGTCCAGTCCCCTTCTGCATGCCTCTGGGCTGGGCAGGCCCTGAGATGCTGGCACAGTGTACCTGGTTGTGGGAGGTCCATTCCCTTTCTCCATGCCGCAGGACTGTGGGTAGGCCCTGAGGCGCTGGCTTGGTGTGCCTGGTTGTGGGAGAGAGGTCCACTCCCCTTCTCCATGCCTCAGGTCCCCGGGCAGGCCCTGAAGCACTGGTGCGGTGTGCCTGGTTGTGGGATAGAGGTCCAGTCCCCTTCTCCTTGTGCCAGGTCCCTGGGTGGGCTCCGAGTTGCTGGCATGTTGTGCCTGGTTGTGGGAGAGAGGTCCGGTCCCCTTCTCCATGCCCTGGGTCCCCAGGCGGGCCACAAGGTGCTGGTGTGGTGTGCCTGGTTGTGGGAGAGAGGTCCAGTCCCCTTCTCCACGCCTCAGTTCCCCAGGTGGGCCCTGAAGCACTGGCTCAGTGTGCCTGGTTGTGGGAGGGGGGTCCAGTCCCCTTCTCCATGCTTCAGGTCCCCAGGCTGGCCCTGGGGCACTGGTGCAGTTTGCCTAGAAGTGGGAGTGGGGTCCAGTCCCCAGATCCAAGCCTCCAGTTCCCAGGCAGGCCCCAAGGTGCTGGTGGTGTGCCTGGCCCGGAACTAATTTTTTGTCCTTTGCTTCTAACATGGGGGAACTTCCTGTGGGAACCAGTACTTGAGCTGTGTGGTTGTTCAAATTGCTATTTGCTGCTGTTTCCCTAGGGAAGGCTTTTTGTGCAGCTCAGGGTTTAATGGTTGACCTTATAGGTTACTTCCGGCTCTCCAGAGACCCGGTGGATCTGTGTTCTGTAGAATCTCTGATCTGGGCCTGAGTTTTTTCACCAAACTGCACCCCATGCAATTCTGCATTCCTGACCAGTCTCCTTTGAGTCGTCCTATGCTGATTGGGGGGCAGATCAGCTGTCCTTGCAGTGTCCCAGTGTTCCCCTGGTGGGCACATCTCCCCCACCACCCGTGCTGCAAACACTTCCCATGGGATAGGCCCTGCGCCGGTCCCTTGCGATGACTCACCGGCCTCTGAGTGGCTCCCTTTTTTCAGTTGTTCTGGCTCCTCGCTCCTGCGTGGGTCCATGTGAACCCTATTAGTGGTCTTGTCCTGGGGGCCGCCAAGGACCTCTTCTCCCCTGCCGCCTCCAAGTAACTCCAACTGAAGGGCACACCTGCGGCTTCTGCCAGCGCCTGCTCCATGTGCTCATCAGCTCCAGCCTTAAAGCAGCCGCGGCCCGAAATGCTCAGAGCAGCTTTTTCTTTCTCTCATCGTAGTTTCTCCCACTCATTTCCCATTTTTTATTGAAAGTTTCTGAAGTGTTTACTGTCACTCCGTTTGTTGCTTCTATAAGTCCTTAATTTGATTCATTTCTTGTTCGGTTAGATTTCAATGTCTTTTCCCAAAGGCTCATGATTGTATATTTGGAAGTTCTTATATACTTGGGAATGTCTATTCCCTTTTATATTTTATTCTTTTGGCAGCTGGGTGGTAGAGGGATCTGAGCCCTTGACGTTGGTCCTGTCAGTAGCGTGCTCCCCTTATATTTTAAAGACAACTATGGCAGGGCCGGCCCCATGGTGCACTTGGGAGAGTGTGGCGCGGGGAGCGTAGCGATGCTCCTGCTGCGGGTTCAGATCCTATATGGGACTGGCCAGTGCGCTCACTGGCTGAGCATGGTGTGGGCGACACCACACCAAAGGGTTGCGATCCCCTTACCGGTCACGAAAAAGACAACTATGGCAGAGTATAAAATTCCTGGCACTTTTTCTCCAAACTTTAGAACCTTTTGCTTCACTGCCTTTAAGTTTGTTATAAGATCTGAGACCATATTGACTTTTCCTCACATTATACATGACTTGATTTCTCTGCTTGGATCGCCATATAATTCTTTATCTTGTTAATTCATCAGGACATTTCTTTGTAGATTACTGGATTTCCTTTCATGTGTTTTCTTTTTGTGGCTGGTCGGTAGGGGGATCCAAATCATGCGTTTCCTATATTATCTGTAGCTTTTATCTCTTTCCCATGTTTTATTTCCTCCAGCCTATTTTCTCTGTGCCTTCTGTTTTATATTTTGTGGATTCTAATAAGGCTTTCATTTTTCCAGCTTTTAAAATCTTCAGTTCCTTATCTTTTACTCTCGTTTGAACCTCTGTACTTTTTAAAAACAGATTTATGCTGCTGTGTCTTTTATGAGTCTGTGGAAAATTTGTCACTTTATCCTTTTTGAGGGAGTTAGCAGCATCTGTGATCATTCTTTTCTGGTTAATGATTATTCAAACTTAGTTTGATCTACTGAAGAATAATAGGAAGAGTTTATAAGAATGAGCTTTAAGTTGGCTTATTATTTGTTACTCACCGAATTCAGTATTTCCTTTGCCCTTGGGAACACATCTTGGGAATACAGTTATTGTACCCTATGGCAAAGGTTTTAAGGTAGTGTATTTCAAATTGCGGCAAGTGAAATCAACTTAGTGGTTTACACCCAATATTAAAAACTGATATTGAGTAGGAAGTATTATAACGCATCTTGCATAATGAATAAGAATTCTTTCCTGAAATTTCTTTTAGTACAGAGCTAAGATGTCAAATATCTTTTAATACCAGTTGGCTGGTACAGGGATTGAACCCTGTACTTTGGTGTTATTAGCACCATGCTCTAGCCAACTAAGCTAACCAGCTAGCCCTACTCTTTCTTTCTTGGGGGTCTGGCTGGCACAGAGATCCAAGCCCTTGCCTTTGGTGTTATCAGTATTTCTTAATGTAGGCTGTACTCAGGCCTCGTTTGCTAGGCTAGCACATAGATGACATGGCCCTTCACCAACGTTTTTCCTTAAGCTCCATCTCCTCTACAATTCTGATTTATCAAAATGATCTCTAGAGGTGTTCAACATGTCTCACTCACTCATCTCTTTGTTCTAATTAAAGACTAGGGACACTCTGCTTGCTTGTTGGCCATGCTGCAATTTTGGCCAGGCTGCATGTCTAAATAAGTATACTTTAAAGTTTATGTTTGGAGAGATTTCTCTTGTTAAATTTGTAGGATTTGTTGTGTGGGTTTTTATTTTTAAATTATTTTAAAATAAAAAAATTTTAATAATATACTTGATGACAACTTGGTTGGTTCGTGGGTTATTTAGCCAGAAGACATTTCTTTTGACCTAGATCATTAGTAAAGCAATAACTGCTAGGACTCTACAATAGACTTACATAGAAATGTTTATATTTAATTTTAAAAGGCAGTCCTGTGTATAGTTATATTATAAACCATAATAGCTCTTGTAGCCAACTTTTATTAACTCAGGTATCATTATTAGAGGAAATCACTGAAGAATATGAAAGCTCAAATAGATTTTTTAAAAAATGCTTTAATATGAGTTCTACTGCAAAAGTCCCTCAGTTCAATAGAGAGCAACAAATGTTGTTCGCAAGAAACTGCATCTTGTAAGGTAGCTGGTCTTCACAATTCCTGCTGAGACTAGAGTTGCAGCAAGTCATTCAATCACTTTTCCCTTTTTAAAGGAGGAAAAAGGAAGTGCAGGTAAAAAGAACACTCCTAGAAGAGATCCTAATACTCTCTTGATTATCATTGCCCATGGATGGAGACTTTTTAGTCCTTACCTTGGCTTCTTTGACCCACTCTCTCAATTCGCCTTCCTTTCTTTCTGAGTGGTTCACTCCAGTTTTCAATAGGTGACTTGTAATTCTTCCTGTCACCAGTGTTGGGTGTTGTCTATGCTTCTGTTTGCTTTTCTTATATATATACATATACACACACACATATAATATACACACTCCCTGGGTAAGCTCACCTACATCTTCCACAATTACCCAAACATTGTCAATTCTGGCCTAGATCACGATGCTGAACTCTGATCTCTATTTCCAGCTGTCCTGTCTTTAGCTATATTATAGTTGTCTCAGATTAAACTTGTTAAACTGAATGCATCACTTTCAGTGCCACCACAACCCTCTCAGTCCCTGCTCTTCTAAAAGCTCTCTTCTTGCTATATTTTCTAACTTTGTGAATAGCACTATTGTCTAGCAATTCAGGTTAAAACCATGAGTAGTATTAGATACTTTCCTCTCCATCAAATCTTTTTCAATCCTGCAGCCCTACTGCTATTGACTAGGCTTGGATAATGTCAATCCTTGTAGAATAATGGCTGAGCACCTTAACCTGAAATTTAAGAGAACAAATGGCAATACATAAGAATGTGCTGTATAAAGGGTGCTAAGTGCTTCTGTCTGTTGTGCTGTTTGATGAAACTGTATTATATGATCCAGAAGCAGCCTTATGTTCAAATGATTCTGGTCTTGCAAAACTGCTAACTAGTGAGCCTTCACTGTTTATTACCACCTGCAGCTGCTGGGAAAAAAGTTAGGAGCTATGTTTTACTGATTTGACCTTTGAATAATAGGAGCAGCACAAATCCCAGAATTCTCAAGGCTGTTCTAATAATAGAGCAAACCAAAAACTGAACTACAGAAAAATAGGAAATGGCTATGTCAGGTTTAATAAAAACAAAAGGGTCACCAGGTGGCCACATCCTTTTCTTGTCATTCACGTCCCCAATTCCCAGATCCTATTTACCACTCAAGTTTGAATACAGTCAAGGTCGGTTGGGTCAAAAACTGACCTCAGGAAATATTGTCATCCCTCAAAGATGTTAATTATGATTCAAAAAGAGATAAAAAACTCAGCACCTCTTTCATTTAAAAAAAAAATGGAGAAACTTGGTAAGAAAAAACTGAAATATTCTTATAGCTGCCTGGGGAGCAGATCTTAATCCTTCCACATAGACAGATACTCATATCCACAGGAGGCCATTTGGATTAAAACCAAACTGAGTCCATTACTCATTCCCTCTCCGGCTCTTCTTGTGGCTTTTCTTAGACCTGAAATGGCAACACATAAAAATCATTACATTAAAGAGCTGGACAAGGACTTTTGAGAACAACCATGGTATGGTGACAGTGATGGGAATGGAGGTGACAATATTCATTAAATGTGCTTGGTGTTTATGTCTCAGAGCAATACTCTGAGTTATGCATTACTATCTAAAATTTATCACTGAGGAAATGACCTCTGAGAAATTAGGAGTGTACCTAATGGTGTGCAGCATATAGGAGTTTCTAATGAAAGGAACTTGTCCAAGGTCACTCAACTGTTAAGTTTTAAAAGCTGGGACTAAACCCCAGGTTTCTTGAGACCAAAGCTCATCCATTATCTAAAACTGCAAAACAACACAACACCAAACATATATAAAATCCTGGTAATTCTCAGGGCAATAGGCCAATTTTGTCTTACAATGAAGGAGAATTCTTAATACCACCATCAAAACAAAATTTCAGGTCCAAGTTGGCTGAAATCAGGACTTTAATTCCTGAATAAAGATTTAAATTCTTAAGTTAAAATAGAGGTCAGTCTATACCTTTCAGGAGACTTTGAGTGGCTCCTGTGTCTGTGACTACGGTGATGACCTGTGGAAGAAAAGGCCAGTGGATGAATGAGATTCCACATTCCTACTTTTTTTTTTTTTTTGCTGGTCAGTACTGGGATTGAACCCTGGACTTTGGTGTTATCAGCTCTAACCAGCTAGCCTCTACCCTTCTACTCGTAAACTGTCATTGTCACCTCCCCTCATCCCCCCCTCCATTGGCTTAACACTTTTTGGCCTATGTTAAAGACACCTCTTATTGGTAGCATCTTTGAACTGACTGTGTGTGTCTCACTCTCAGGGAAAGTAGTAATGAAACCACTTCATATACACTTAGGACTTTATGACTAATTACACAAATATCACATTGGGCTTTTACCACTACTCTGTTAGGTCTTATTCCTGTAATTTCAGATGAAAAAACTGAAGCCCATTGTCATTTCAGCAAAGCTTTGAAGTGACAGTCAAGATGTGAACTGTTATTTCCAAATTCCCGGTCCATGTCCTTTTTTGCTACAACAGTACAAGAGTACTTCACAACTTTATGGAAAGATTCATATTTTAATTCTGTTTTCCCATGAACTTTATGAAGTGCCCTCCTACAGTCAGGCACTCCTATCTTACGGGAGACTAGCTGCATATCTTACATGTCTCTGTTAGGACAACCAACGGCAAAAGGCTTTAAATGCTATACCTGGGGACTTGGAGCGGGATCTATGCCGTCTATCTCGAGACCTGCTGCGGTGACGTCTTGGACTCTTGCTCCGATGCCTTTCTCGGCGGGGGGAGGGACTGTGGAAAAGACTGGTCAGACTACCAGAAGTTTGGCAATATACACACAACATCCTCCCCCAAACCCTATCCCTAATCACAAATGACTGATGGCTTACCTTCTCCTTTTGGGAGATCGACTCCGCCTATGGAGAAAATAAAGAGAGCCTAGGTTGATGCACTGAATGTTACAGACTGCAAACATAGCACCCTCCCACTCTAATTCTGGGATTGGCCATGTGACTTGTTTTATCCAATGGGATACTTGCAGATGTTATACAAGCAGATAAAGGAAAAACACTTGCATGATTGGGTTTATTTGCTCTTGAATTCTGCCTCTGCCATGAGAACAAGCCCAGCTTAGCTTGCTACAGGATGAGAGGGGACACACAGAAGAGATAAGTTGCCCCAGTCATTCTAGCTAAGGCCATCCTATACCAGCCAACAGACAGCTGACTGCAAGATAGGTGAGTGAACATAGCTTGTACTTGGAAAACTGCCTATTCAAGCCCTGCTTAAATCACTGACTACACACTTGTGAACTAAAAAAATGGTTATTGCTGCCTGCCAATGAGGTTTTTGTGGGTGGTTTTCTAATAACAGATAATGTATACACTGGGCACACATTCCCCATAGGCTGGCATTTTTCCTTCCCTGAAATCAAAACTTCTAGGCCACAGCACTCAAAGTCTCTCTCTGAGAGGCCAATGACTAGGGTCTTACCTTCTGGGAGACCGGCTCCTACTCCTCCTGTACCGCAGTGTGGGAGAGCGACGGGGCTTGTCCAAGTCTCGGTAGCTTCTCCTGCGGTGATCAGGTGATGGCACTCTTTCCAACTGGAAAGAAGAGATGGATGGGTCAATCATGGGCACAGGCTTACAGAGAGCCCTCTAGGAACACTGATTACACTCCCCTTCCCATCCTGTCCCAAAGCCCATCTCCAAGTGAGTTTAATAACAACACAGTAATTTGACTACATAGAGAAATAACACTGCCCTGCTCCCATTTCCCTACCCCCTCCCACCTGCTCCTCCCATTGCTCCACATCTTTGAATGTAAAAAATAATATATATATATATATAAATATATATATATATATTTTTTTTTTCCTTTTTTTGTCTTTTTTCGTGACCGGTAACGGGATCGCAACCCTTGGTGTTGCGCCCACACCGCGCTCAGCCAGTAAGCGGAAACCGGTCTCCACATGGGATCCGACCCCTCGGCGGGAGCTCCGCCACACTCCCAAGCGGCGCACTCTCCAGTGCGCCACTGGGCCGGCCCCCAAGAATCCCATTTTTGCTCTAGTGTTAGTATCATTATTCTGGGACTGTGTAGGGCCGGCCCGGTGGCACACTGGATAGTGCGCCGCTTGGGGAGCGCGGCGGCGCTCCCGCCCGAGGGTTCGGATCCCACATACAGACCGGTTCCCGCTCACTGGCTGAGCGAGGCGTGGGAGCAACACCGAGGGTTGCGATCCCGTTGCCGGTCCCCGGTCCGGTACGGGGGCAACACTGAGGGTTGCGATCCGTTGCCGGACACGGAAAAAGACAAAAGACAAAAAAAAAAAAATTCTGGGACTGTGTGAGTATACTGAGAAATAAAAAATTATGTGTATCTCCTTAAGAAGCTGGATTTCCAATGTGAAAGAGAAACAAATGTAAGATCAGTAAAGTACAAACTCACAGTGTACTTTAATATTAAAAAAAAATTTCCCCAGCTCTGCCAACTTTATAGGTCCAGCAACACTGATCAACCTAGTAGCAATGAGCACTCAGAGTGCCCAGACTGTGGTATCTAAATATCATATCCTATTAAAAGAAACCACGGGCTTCTTAGAGAAATGATTAATTCCAGGTGTGGAGCAGAAGCATACAAGATGTGACTGGAACATATTGTCATGAGAAAGCAAAGAAGCTATCAAAGACTACTACGATTCCATCAGAAAGTCTCAGGAGTCAAGTTAAAGAAGTTCTCACTGGCCAAAGATGAGATAATTTGAGCATCAACAAGGATAATTAATAATGGATCAAAACATCAAATATGCTTAAAATCCATGAGTTCATAATGTTACCAAAGATAAAAGAGCATTTATCACCTCGGGAGTATAAACTATGGAGCCAACTAGTAAAGAAAAAGAATCAAATATCTATTTTGCCTTTCTATTATAAAATGTACCTATGGAAAATCAAATGTTGATTTGGGAGGTTTCTTTTTATAGGAAGTATTTCCTGGTAACAAATGATGAGGAAATTAAAGAGCGAGAATATCACCATTTTACAACCCCTATGGATTTAGTGAGTTGGTGCTTGTGCAATGATGTGCTGGGGCCAGAGCAGCAAGAATCCAGGAAAGTGGGGTTGCCAGAACACGAATGCCAATAGCTACAGTGCTTTAGGAAAAATGAGTTTTGTGCAAGCACCAAGGCACAGAAGAAGTCTAGGACTCATGAGAACAAAAATTCTCAAAGAAAGTGGATCAACATTTAATTTATCTGACTGCTTCCTAATAGGCAGCTTGTTTGATTTCAACTTTAGCACTGTAACTAGTACTGAAAATATGATCACACAGTAGGCATTTTTTTTCCACCTAAACTAGACTTATTACTTAGGATAGGTTTAATTATGAAAAGTGTTTTTCCCCCAAGTATTTACTTTAATAGCTATCATTTATTAGGCAATTATAATGTGCCAATACTATGCTAAGGTCTTTATTATGTGTATTATCTCATAACAGTCTGGAGAGAAAAGTATTGTTATCCTCACTTTACAGAAGAGAACACTAAAATTTGCACAAGATTATACCACTAGTAAATGGGAGAGCTGAGATTTGAATCAAGGTCTGTTTGACTCTAAATCTCATACTTTTAATGAGAAAAATATTGTGGTTTTTTTTGGTTAAAGAAAAAAACTAAAGTCTGAAAATGAAAATAAAAAAGGACCATTCCCACCGTCTATAATTATCCCTTCCCCAACTCTTAAATTGTCAGGTGCCTGACCTTCTCATCCTCCTCTTCCTCCTCTTCACTGGACTCCACATCATCCATGTCCTCTTCTAGAGCACTAACTCGAGGCTCCAGTTGCTCAGCTTCCTCTAGCACATAGCGTTTCTACAGAGAACACAATAAGAGTTAGGGGTTGTTGCCATTTCCTCTATGTCCTGAAGCCACACATTGGACTTCTGAGATTGACAGAAAAGCCAGGGAGCAAAAGCTGAGGCAATGTCATTTCAGATACAGTTCAAGATTTTCCTAAGGAGTTTAATATAGCTGGAATCTACACTCTTAAGTCACCCTATAAACATAAATACAAAGCTGAAGGGAATGTCTTCATTTTCTACTGGCTCTATTCCTTGTGACCTTATACTCTAAGGTCATTAGAATATCAATCAGTATAGGTACAGCCTAGAACCAAAAATATGGGCTTCATATACACAGAAAATCCAAGGGCCAATAAGTTCATGGCTGAGACTGTGTTGGCTAGTAGTTCCATCAGAAAAGGCTTAGCCCTAGAGTAGCAGAGAGCTACTGAGATTCATTTTGTACTGAGCACAAGATATAAACAATCCATCTCGTGGTTCTATTATCTTCTGGGATATGGCACAGAAGTGCTTATTTGAGTGGTGAAGGACCCAAGATGCAAAGGTGAGTTCAAATCTGCCAAATGGACTGACTGGGTCATAAGACCCCTTACCATTTTCTTACACCAAAGACACAAAGAATGTTGAACAGCATAGATGGACAGCCCTAGAATAACTAGTAAAATCTGTATACTACTATGCTTTCACCCATCCTTCAGCAAAATTCTATGAAAGTTGGGAGAAATGAGACAGTCACATGATCACCAGAGTTTAAGATCTAGGACTACATTAAGACAGGGCATCCAGAATACTTCATGCTTACCAGACTCAGAACAGATGTAAGTCAATATATGAATTCCTAGTATTTATGTTTGATGGAATGAGAATACATTCCAGAACAACCCCTTGCCAATATCAGGGCACATCAGAAGCTAAATTGATGACCTATAAATTGCTTAAAAATAACACTAATCAGAGCAAACTGCAGTCTTAAGAGTCACTTAATCCAGGATATATTGAGGCCCATATCAGAGCACACCTCTTGGTGATACAACATTTCATCAGTTAGGTTTCAATTTCTCTCTCCTTAGTGGGGCTTGATAAACACTAGCAAATTCTTTTCTTGTGGTCTTTCCTTCTATACTCCATGCAGACCACACCATTTACATTAATAGGGTTGCTTAGAGCTAAATAGATTTTGAGATCCCATAGCTACAACCTGATTGCACGTGTAAGTTTTCCCATTTCTTGCAGTATTTCTAAAGATAATAATAATAGCTAAAGATAACAGTAGCTAATGTAACCCGCAATGAGTTAGTGTGAGAATTGGGCCCTGAAAGCAGGTTTTCAGATTTGAAGTCTCATTTGCTTCACATTCTCTACAGTAGCCAATATGGAACAGGAGAGAGATACTACACCCACTTTCAGAATTTTTATAGGATTTTACTGGGGTCAATGTGGAGGAACAGGTAATTCACCGCATTTAAGTGTGAGCACCCATCAACTAATTACTTTTATCCAGCTGGTTTGCTGGCTCAAGCAGACTCATCTCACCCATTTATCAGACATCAGCAATACATTCATTCAATTCCCTACTCTGAAGTTTTTCTGATCCCTTTGATTTTTTTTAATTGAGGTGAAATTCACACAACATACAATTAACCATTTTGAAACAAACATTTCAGTAGCTTTTAGTGTATTCACAATGTTGTACAACCACTACCTCTTACAAGTTTCAAAAGTTTTTTATCATGCTAGAGAAACATCTCATACCCATTAAGTAATCATTCCTCATTTCTCCCTCCCCACATTCCCTGATAACCACTAATCTGCTTTTTGTCTCTATGGATTTGCCTAGTCTGGATATACCATATAAAAGAAAACATACACTATGTTACTTTTTATCTTTAAATTATCCCTTTTGGTTTATATTTAACATGGAAGCAAACACCTCACAGCATGTGCTTCAGAATTACTAACCTGCAGGTAGCATCAAAAAGGAAACCCTGAGGTAGTGAACCCCTTGTTGGGGTTTCTGTAGTTGTTTAAAAATGTAAGAATATACTCCCATTCTCTATCTAAAAACTGTATCTGGTACCCCTTAGTTAATGCTACCAGTTTAACATATACAGACATACAGAATCAGAGAAAAGTAGAGCTAGAAGATCCAGAGGCCTTTAGTCTACATCTATTTCAGTGATTTTTGCAATATTTTTTTAGTTTTATTGAGGTATAATTAACATACAATAAACTATACATTTTTAAAGTATATAATGTCATGTGTAGACATGTATTATATACAACTGTAGTGCAGCAAAATGAATATATCCACACTACTCAAAAGTTTATTTATGCCCCTTTGTTATCTCTCCTTTTCTCTCCTCCCTACTCCTTTGCCCTGTCCCCAGGCAACCACTGATCTGATTTTTGTCACTACAATTTACACTTACCAAAATTTTATATAAACAGAATTATAAAGTACATACTCTTTCTTTTTCCACTCAGCATAATTATTCTGCAACTCATCCATGTCCTTGCATATTAATAGTTCTATTTTACTGCTCCGTAGCATTCCATTGCATGGATATACCACAATTTATCCATTCATTTGTTGATGAATGTCTGGATTGTTTCTAGTTTCTGACCACTACAAATAAAGCAATTATGAATATTTGTTTATAAGTCTTTGTGTGGACATGTGCTTTCATTTCTCTTGAGTAGAATGGCTGCATTGTATGGTTAGGTGTATGGTTAACTTTTTAAGAAACTACCAAACATTTCCAACATGGTTGTACCATTTCACATAGCCACCAGCTGTGTATAGAGACTTGTAGTTCCTCCTCATCCTTCCCAACACTCAATATGATCTTTTTAATTTTATACATTCCAATATGTAGTGTCTGGTATGCAGTGTATCTTACTATGGTTTTAATTTGCATTTCCTAATGATTAATGATGTTGAGGGTCTTTTATGTGCTACTGGCCAACTATGTATCTTCTGTTGTAGTGTGTTAGAATCTTTTGCTCATTTTCCCACTGAATTGTCGTCTTGTTATTAAGCTCAAGTTCTTTACCTTTGTCATATATGTTGTGAGAATATCTTTGTCCAGTCTATGGCTTGCCTTTTTATTTCTGTAAGAGTGCCTTCTAAAAAGCAAAAGTTTTATAAAGGCCAACTTATTGGTTTTTCAAAAATAGTTCATGTTTTTTGTCAGCACCACGCTCAGCCAGTGAGCGAACCGGCCATCCCTATGTGGGATCCTAGTCAAATGAATCAATTGAACAAAATAAAAGGACCAGAAATAAACCCAAGTGCCTTCTAAAAAGCAAAAGGTTTATAAAGGCCAACTTATTGGTTTTTCAAAAATAGTTCATGTTTTTTGTCAGCACCACGCTCAGCCAGTGAGCGAACCGGCCATCCCTATGTGGGATCCGAACCCAGGGCCTTGGTGTTATCAGCACCGCACTCTACCGAGTGAGCCACGGGCCGGCCCCATGTCTTTTGTGTCCTAATACAGACATTTTTGTCAAACCCAACCAAGGTCACTGAGATTTTCACCCATTTTCTTTTACAAGTTTTATAGTTTTTGCTTTTATATTTATTTTCAGCTATCTTTAGTGTGCATTTGCTTTTATATTTAAATCTATGATCCCTTCAAGTTAATTTTTATATGTGGTATGGGCCAAGGGTGGAGATTCATTCTTTGCATGTGGCTATTCAATTCCAGTACCATTTGTGGAAAAGATTATCCTTTCTCAATAGTATTGTCTTGACATCTGTTTAGAAAACCCGTTGAATACATCTATTGGGTTTATTTCTGGTCCTTTTATTTTGTTCAATTGATTCATTTGACTATCTTTATGAAAATACAACACTGTCTTGCTTACTACACCTTTATAATAAGTCTAATAATCAGGTATTGTTTGGCCTACTTTGTTCTTTTTCAAAGTTATTTTGGATATTCTAGGTCCTTTAAATTTTCATATAAATTTTACAATCAGCTTGTCAAGTTCTATAAAAAGTCTACTAGGATTCTGACTGGGATTACATTGAATCTGTAGATTAACTTGATAAGACTGGTATAAGGTATACCATCAACATGGTATATATCTCCATTTATTTAGACCTTTAATTTCTCTCAGTAATGCTATGTTTTATAGTTTTATAGACTTTGTATGTAACTCTTGCATATCTTTTGAAAGTTTTAAGTATGTAAGTCTTGCATATCTTTTGAAAGTGTGTAAGTCTTACATATCTTATTTAATATTTTTTGATGCTGTTGTAAATGGTATCTTTTCTTTTTTTTTCCTTTTTGTCTTTTCTCGTGACCGGTAACGGGATCGCAACCCTCGGTGTCACGCCGATACCGCGACCGGCAACGGGATCGCAACCCTCGGCGTCACGCCCATACCGCGACCGGCAACGGGATCGCAACCCTCGGCGTCACGCCCATACCGCGACCGGCAACGGGATCGCAACCCTCGGCGTCACGCCCATACCGCGACCGGCAACGGGATCGCAACCCTCGGCGTCACGCCCATACCGCGACCGGCAACGGGATCGCAACCCTCGGCGTCACGCCCATACCGCGACCGGCAACGGGATCGCAACCCTCGGCCCCGCGCCTGCACCACGCTCAACCAGTGAGCGGACCGGTCTCTATATGGGATCCGAACCCTCAGCGGGAGCGCCGCCGCGCTCCCAAGCGCTGCACTGTACCGAGTGCTCCACCGGGCCGGCCCTAAATGGTATCTTTTTAATAAAATTTCAAATCCCAATTGCTTGTTGCTAGTGTATAGAAATAAAATTAACTTTTGTATATTGACCTTGTATACCACAATTCTGTGTAAAAAAACTGGTATATCCATACAATGGAACACTTTTCAGCAATAAAATGGAATAAAGTAGTGATTCATGCAACAACATTGATGAATCTCAAAATACATTATGCTGAGTAAAAAGAAAAACAGAAAAGAACATGTACTGTATAATTCCAAAATGCAAACTAGTCTGTCATGACAGAGCATATCATAGCACGTTAGTGTTGGTTGGGGTTGAGGGAGAGGGGTAGGAGAAAAGAATTCACTACCTTGATCATAGTGATAGTTTCAAGAGTACACACACATCGAAACATCAAATTTTATAGTTTAAATATATGTAATTTATTGTATGTCAATTATACCTCAATAAAGCCATTTAAAAAAAAAAGCCTTTATTCAAATGAAATTTCACTGCTCAAGTCCAAATATAACCTAGAAGAAAAAGGAGCTACTCTGGTTGGAATATATGGGGCTGTCTCCACTTACTCCTCTCAGTATCCCTAAAACAGTCCCACACAAGATGGTTTAAAGACAACTGATGTAGTATGACTTCCCCATTTTATAGACAGGGAAACTAAAACCAGGCACAGCTGATCAGCTGTAACAACAACACAGAAACTTAGGTCTCCTAATTTCTTATTTGGTCATCTTCTCTCCACTATAGCCCATTCCTTTTCTCTTTAGGCTAGTTGCTGTATCTATTTTCCCTTTGTTTTTTCCACAGTGGTTTTTAAATCACAAAACCCATACCCAAAAGGCCCTCATGGACAATCATTTATCACTAGGGAAGGGAGGCAAGATGACAAAGAGGAAGTTTAAGGAATTAAGGGCTCAGTTTCCCACTCCTGGCCCTCTTTTTATCTGTTTTATATCTTGGCTTTTTACATAAAGATCAATTTGAAAAAAGATGCTCAAAATGTTTAAAAACCACTACTCTATCTATGATACTTTGATATAACATCCTCAAGAAGAAAGTTTTCTTAACTATTCACTTTAAAGTCTTACCTTTCAAATACTTCATGTTTTCCTCTTACTCTCAATCCCCTTTCTCATAGACAGAAAGACTACTTATTAAGAGGACCCATAATGTCCACGAGCTTCAGTGTTTTATTATGTATATGTGTTTGTCTGTCTGCCTGCCTGTCTTGGAGGGGAAGGGTGACTCTGATAAGAGACCTTTATTACTTACCTGTAGCCGGGGCAGAATGATATCACAGACTCTCTCACTATGCAATAGTTCATCAATAAATTCATCTACATGCATCAGCTCAAACTCTGAAAGAAAAAATCATTAGCTCAAGAAAACTGAAAATATCAGATTTAGATAGCCAAAAAATAAGTGAAAGACTTTATATGAAGCCATCTATGCCAGGCCTCGTAAGAGGCAAGAGATTAAGTGATGAATGAAGCTATCCCATTTAGGAGGAAAAAACAAGAACAAATACTTCTGAATTATGTAGGGATGATCTTGAATAGATCATATGGGTCAAGTGCAATTTCTCATCTGAACCCACAATGTTTCTGAATATAGAACACATATGGCACATGGAGTAACAGCTTTTAGAACTTCCATAGTAAACATTACCTTAGTACAGTGGTTCTCAACCACAGGCAATTTTGTATGCCTCCACCCTCCCTAGTTAGAGGGGTTGCTATTTGCATCTTGTGGGTGGAGGCCAGGGATGCTACTAAACATCCTACAATGCACAGAACAACCCCCACCACAAAGAATTATCTGGCCCAAAATGTCCATAGGTTGAGAAACCCTGTCATAGCTGAACACAATATAATCATAAATAAGTAACGCCATGATGGCCGTGACCATTTCTACCTTGTTCACTGTTATTTCCACTACACTGCACAGTACCTGGTATGTCACTGGCATTTAATACGTATTTATTCAATGAATGGATTAATAAGTTAATAAAAGTTTAAAGTAAATTCTTAACCTTCTATTGTTTAATGATACATGTAGAAGGGAAAGGCACATGTTACTATCTTTTGTTATAACACTAAGTGAGCAACCGTTTTGATTGTTATACCCTGAAATCGCTCTTTAGCACAGAAAGTGTCTCTTTCTTAAAGATATGGAGCTGCCCCTCCTGGATATACTTATTATTTTTCAGTGGGATTCCTGCATAAGTATAAGTACACTTAGTCTACATTTGGCAGTGTGAAGTACAGTGCTAAAGGAGAGGTCAGTAGAAAGAGGTGTTAAGATGTAACATATTTAACACTGGCTTTATCTGGGAGGGTTGGGGAAGGCTTTTATGGGGAAGACATTCTGAAACTAGACCTTGAGGGATGGAGCACATGTGGAAGATGCACATGATGCAAAGCAGGGATTAACATAAGATGCAGTTGAAAAGGGAGGCAGATGGGCAGACTGGGTAAGGCCAACAGGAAGCTAGTGGTCAGATTAATACGCCCATAAGGGAGATGAAGGCAATAACAATACAGCTGAAGAGGAGCACTCACAATGTATGTGACAACTGAAGGGTAGAGAAACTGGTGAAATAAAAACTAGTTTAGGAATGACAGTCCAGACAGTTGTCACCATACTCACCCCCATTTCGGTTCTGGCTCTTGATTTTTCGATAGTCATTGTACAAAGGCTCCAAGTATTTGTAGCAATCGATTGCGGTGCCTGTCAGCCTCATGTAGAGCGCCCCCAACATGCGCACATACCTGACAGAGAGATGACAGTGAAACAATAGGCCATCCTAAGAAGTTCCTGAGTTTTACAACTGGCTTTTCCAATGGCAGTAGTGGGTAAACATGTTCTTTCTTCTCTCTGGCAGACAAGAAAACTGCAATTTTGGAGGAAGCATAAAGCAGAAGAAAGATGGCTAAAATATGGAGACCTAGGTTCAAGTTCCCACTCTTGGCACTTGCTCAACTTTCAGATATATTATCTGTAAAACTAGGATAAAAACCTCACAGGATTATTCTAAGAATCAAATGAGACACCAAATTTAACAGAAGATATAAGATACATTTAATAACAAGAAAAAACTACATAGACATGATTGCTGATTCTAGAAAAAAGTCTAAGTAATCTGGGTTCAAATTCTGATTCCATAGTTTACCAACTCTGTGACACTGGGCAAGTTACTTGTTTTCTCGATCCTTGTAAAATGGAGATAATGCCACCTAATTTATTGGCTTGGTATTAAATAAGAAATTCAAGTAAAGTGCTACACTATGGCTCAAAGGAGGAAATGATGTGTGCTTTACAAAACCAATGCAGTTGGAGAGAAACGCTAAGATCATTACCGAGAGTCCCAGGGCACTGAGGGCAGGAATGTTCATGATTTTCTGCATACAGCACATAGTTAGTGCCTAACAAAAGTTAGCTATCTTCTAGATGTTAATGTTTTGTAAGATTCCTTCCTTTCCCTTTCTCCTGTATCCAACTACCTACTCAAATCTCCACTTCAATAACTAGCAGGTATTTGAAACTCAACAGTTTTTTTTATATGAGAAACAGAATAGCGTAGCACAGAATACAGACTCTGAAGCCAGCTTTGCCACTTACTAGCTGTTTGACCTTGGGTAAAGTATTTAATCTCTCTATGCCTCATTTCCTCCTCTGTGAAATAGAGGTAATTTTACAGGGTTGTTGTGAAAGCTCAATAAATTATTATATGTAAAACCCTTAGAACAAAGCATGGCACATAATAAGCAAGTATTATGTCTGTCCCCTATGCTTGTCTGTGAGCTCCTTGAGAATAAAAAAATAAAAAGAGAAGCTGACATTTTCTGGTTGTTTACTGTGCAACTGTAACACTGTGTTGAAAGATTTGCATGCACTCTCTTCGTTAACTTTCACAACAATCCTATAAGTTGGTATTACTGTCCACATTTTAAAGAAAAAAAAAAGGAAAGCTTAGAAAATCATGTAACGTCTCCACTGTCACAGTTAATGAGTAACAAGAGTCTGGACATGAACACAGAACTAATATCTCTTAACTACCACCATATTTTGTTTTCTTCACCCCTGAGCATCCAGTGCTTATCAACATATTAGGCACTCAATTCTGCTTAATACAAAGGTACTTTAAAAAGTTCATGGAAAGGGCCGGCCCGTGGCTCACTCGGGAGAGTGCGGTGCTGATAACACCAAGGCCCTGGGTTCGGATCCCATATAGGGATGGCCGGTTCGCTCACTGGCTGAGCGTGGTGCTGACAACACCAAGTCAAGGGTTAAGATCCCCTTACCAGTCATCTTTAAAAAAATAAAAATTAAAAAAAAAAAAATAATAAAAAGTTCATGGAAAAACAGAATTAAAAGATAATACGAATCTTACCATCAACTTTTTTTTTTTTTTTGTCTTTTTTCGTGACCGGCAACGGATTGCAACCCTCAGTGTCGCGCCCATACGGACCGGGACCGGCAACGGGATAGCAACCCTCGGTGCTGCGCCCGCACCTCGCTCAGCCAGTGAGCGGCCGGTCTGTATGTGGGATCCGAACCCTCGGCAGGAGCGCCGCCGCACTCCCAAGCGGCGCACTGTAGCAGTGCGCCACCGGGCTGGCCCACCATCAACTTTTTGAAGTACTCAAGTATATGTTCAGTGAATTTGTGGAATCATTTTGGAGGGAAAGTTACTCAGACTGAGAAACTAAAGTAGAAGATTAATATAATCAGAACAGACAAAATACAAACTCAAGGGTTAAAGAACAAAAACCTAAAGTGAAAATCTCTGAGGAAATGAGATACATTGTGTTCACCTCTTAACCAAAGTCCAATTCTGAACCATCAAAATTGAAACTTTTATATTAGGTAGTAAACACTGCACTCACTTGAAATCTTCATTTTTGATAAACTCTACAATAATATCCTTCTCAGGTTGAATCTGAAGCATCTTCAAGGTTAAACACAGAAAGGGAGTTGGTTTTATGTTGCCACCATAGACGCCACCAACAAACCGTAACTCCATAGCTTTATCGACTACAAGTTCAGCTATAAAAAGAGAAAACAAAAACAGACTGACATTTCAGACATATTAAGCTTTTCCTGTCTGGAGTTGAAAGAGCTCAAGGTTTGGTGCTTCTAAATACTCAACGGTTTATAATTAGGAGAACAAGTATTTACTAATAATAGTAAAAATAATGATATGAGCTAATAAACACTGAATGGTACCAGCTAATAAATAATGAACGATAATATGTCAGGTACTCTGCTAAGTATTTCATATTATCTCATTTAATCTTTACAACAATCCATGTGGAAAATTCTAGCACTGTCCCTATTGCCAGGTAAGGAAAATGAGGTCTAAGAAAAGTTAAGTGATTCGCTCAAGGTTCACAGTCAGAGTGTCGCAGGACAGAATTCGAAGAAAGATCGGAAGACTACCTGGAAGACTTCTCTGAAGACTGGTATTTTCATTAGGACTCCAACGTGGGAATACCGGAACTGGCCCAGGTTTAAGGACAGTAGAATCATGAATTTGGTTTCGGGCATTATGACGTTCTATTAAGATCTTAAAGAGGCTATTGTCAAGGAGGTACTGTCCCTGAGTTTAACACTGGAACCCAGCAGGCTACCAATAAATATGGAATGGCTCAAAGAACACAACTGATACGCCTTTCAGAATAAAACCCTATCAGATTTATCTGTGTCCTCAACACAAGACTAGGCAAACAGGCGGCGTTCAAGTTTTTCTGAATAACTGACGTACTCCCCTCCAGTCCCAACAACAAGAGAAATGGGCCATGAGTCGGCCGAGAGGGGTTCCGGGCGCTCCTGCTCACCCGTAAGTCCAAAACACTCCTCTTTCCAGTACTTGGACTCATAGATTCGCGTACGAATTATCTTCTCCACCAGATATTGAGGGTTGGTGCCGTGGATGCTGTGCGCATCCTTCACCGTACGGTTGGCCATTTTAGAACGCCTTCAGCTCTATTTCCGTCGGGTCCTTTAATACGTCACATCCAGGTTAAAAAAAACCACGAGCCGGACAGAGTAATGTGGAAGATGTCTCACAAACGGCTTCGGCGACCGTCTTGAAACCGGAAACACTGCAGCGTGAGACACGTTTCCGTGAACTGCACCGCCTATCGAATCAATGATGGCTGCTGCGCGTTGGCGGATATACGTCATGCGTCTCTTGGTGGGCGGGGCGGGCGGGTAGGTGACGTACGAAGAGACTGCCTGGGGGCGGGGCCATGCCGTTTGGCGCGAATTTTCTTTTCTCCACCTTCTTTCCATTCCTAGGGAGGCAATAGCTCTGGCTCTGGCCTGCGGCCCGTTGGTTGTATAAGGAAGAGTTTAGCTGGGGCAGATTAGAGTTGCTGCAGCCCCGGAGCTCCCGAGCGGAGGCGGTGGGAAGCGGAGGGCTTGCGGTCTGCGGGAGAAAGCTTTGGCGCCCGGTGAGTGTGGCGTTCTGCGCCTGGAGGGGGACCTGAGCCTCTGGAACTGAGGACGTTGTTCTCTATAGACTCACTAATTACTGATTCATTTAGCAGACATGCACCAAGCGCTTGTTAAGTGCCAGGCACTGCTCTTAGCCCGTTAGGAGCGTTCCTTTTTACCACCTCCGACTCCTTAAAGGCTTCCCGCTCTGCAGGGACTGAGTTTGCAGTGGGGAAGCCGAAAGTCAACAGAAAAGAAGCGTGAGCGATTCTTCCCTCAGCGCCCTGAGACTTTCAGTAATGATCTTAGCCTTTCCTTCCAGCTGCATTGCCTTAGCAAAGGACTCGCATAATTTCCTCCTTTGAGCCATAGTGTAGCAAGCACTACAGAGAAGGCGGAGATGTTATTACCCCATTTTACGGATGGAGCGGTTGCGCCTAGAGAGGGACTTTTCTAGGTTGATTTTTTTTTTTTTTTTTGACTACGCGGCCTGGGCTTCTACTCAGGTCTTCTTTCCAGATGAGCTGCTCTTAACTACTGGACGCCTGTTCACCTCCTTTTCAAGAGAGAAGTCTAATGGCACCCTTTCTAACTTCTCTAGTCTAACCCTGGAATAGAAGGGCTTTCTATTGTGACAGTTGGAAAAAGCACTGGATTAGAGAGATGAGATGCGAGATTCTTCTCTTGATCTACAATTTGTGAAACTGCAATAACTATGTATGATTTTAGTTGGCTGTAAAATGAATAATGGTGCTGTTGTATTAGGTAGGTTGTGAGTGCCAACGGAGTTTCCAGTGTGAGAACATCGTTTACCAAGTCCCTCTGCAACAGTTTTTAACTGTAATAGAGGGCAATATGTGGACTTCAGAAGGTTTGTGAATCCCCTGAAATTGAATGCATGAATTGAGTTCCATAACATTCCTCAGGTTATACAGTATTTTAAAAATAAATAAAACCACTGTCCTTTACAAATAAATGCAAGCGATTAAGGAAGTGGGGGAATGGATTTACCATTTTGCATTTTCTCACTTTCCTGTAATCCTAGAACAGTGCCTAGCGCACAATGGGTGCTTAATAGATATTGGCTGAAGAAAAGGGGTAAGGAAATCGAGACCTGTCGACTTCTCAGTCAGTGGCTAGGAAGCCTGACTTAGTGTAACAAGCACACCGGAAGCAAGTTCTCTCAGGCATATGTTAACATTATCCAATTTCACACAGTGTTGTAAGATGACGCAGTTAAGAGCATAGTCATTGCATTCTGGCAGTTCAGGGTCTGAGTTAAGGCTGTGCCATCCTATATAACATTGGACAAGTTACTGCCTTGACATGATAATAATATCTACCTTTCACTCAGCAAATATTTATTATTGAGTGCCTACTGTACACTTGCCTATGTACCAGCATTGTTCTGGGATTATTGTAGGAATTAAATATGTCAAGAATTTGGCTCGGGCCGGCCCGGTGGCGCACTGCTACAGTGTGCCGCTTGGGAAGCGCGGCGGCGCTCCCGCCGAGGGTTCGGATCCCACATACAGACCGGCTGCTCACTGGCTGAGCGAGGTGCGGGCACAACACCGAGGGTTGCGATCCCGTTGCCGGTCCTGGTCTGGTACGGGCGCGACACTGAGGGTTGCGATCCGTTGCCGGTCACGAAAAAAAAAAAAAAGAATTTGGCTCAACCATCTATCATACTGGGAGAAAGTGGGGTACAGTACAAGAGGCCTGACATCTGCTATGATTTCCTTATGCTGCCTTTTCAGAAGGACTCCTGATTAACTTTTTTTTTTTTTTTTCCTTTTTGTCTTCTTTTACCGACCGGCAACGGGATCGCAACCCTCGGTGTCGCACCCACACCCATACCAGGGACCGGCAACGGGATTGCAACCCTCGGTGTTGCGCCCGCACCACGCTCAGCCAGTGAGCGGGAACCGGTCTCCACATGGGATCCGAACCCTCGGCGGGAGCGCCGCCGCGCTCCCAAGCGGCGCACTCTCCATTGCGCCACCGGGCCAGCCCCTGATTAACTTTTTTGAGCTTTTCTTTTCTTTAATTTATGAAGAAACAAAATTTATTTCTTACTGTTGGGGAGGCTGGAAGTCCATGGTCCAGAGGACACATATGGTGAGAGTCTTCTTGGTGGGGACTCTACAGAGTCCCGTGGCAATGTAGGATATCACATGGTGAGGGCTAAGCAAGAGTGCTTTTTGAACTCTTCATTGAACTTTTCATTGAATAGCATAGTACAGAAAAGTGCACAAGTGATAAATATACAGCTCAATGAGTTTTGTTAAAGAGGACATACTCATATAGATAACACTCAGATCAAGAAACAAAAAATGTCCAGCATCCTGAGAAAAGCACCCCTCTCCCTGCTGTGTCCCCTTACAGTCACATAGGTTACCTTCTATTCTGACGTCTAATAACAGATTACTTTTACCTATTTCTGAACTTAATATGAATAGAATTAATGTAGTATGTATTCTTTTGTATCTGATTTCTTTTTCTCAGTATCATTTTGTGAGATTTTCTCCATATTGTTGTGTGCAGTTGTAGTTGGTTCAGTTTCATTGCTGTATAGTGCTGTTATGAACATTCTGGTTCATGTCTTCTGATAATATGTACTTATTTCTGTTGGAATTGTTGGATCACAGGGTATGCATATGTTTAGCTTTCATAGATACTGCCAGTTTTCTGAAGTGGTTGTACCAATTTACATGTCCTTTGGCAGTGTGTGAAAATTCTGGCTGCTCTCCATCCTCACCATACTTGGTATTGTCCTGACGATTTTATTTTATTTTTATTTATTTATTTTTCTTTCTTAATTTTATTTTGTCGATATACAATGAGGTTGATTATTGTGGCCCACCACCGAAACCCCCCTCCCTCCTCCCTTTCCCTCCTCCCTCCTCCCTATCCCCCCTCCCACCCAACAATGTCCTTTCTGTTTGCTTGTGTCCTGACGATTTTAAAAACCAGTTCATGGGCTGGCTGGCCAGCTCAGTTGGTTAGAGTGCGGTGTTATAACACCATGGTCAAGGATTTGGAACCCCGTACTGACCAGCCACCACCAAAAAAAAAAAAAAAAAAAAAATTAAAGAAAGAATTAAGCAGAGGGAACTTCATTTAAAAAAAAAAAAGGAAAGAAAGAAAACTAGTTCATTCATTTATTTATTCAGTCATTGATTTACTCATTATGTGCCAAGTCCTGACCCAGGCCGTGGGGATGCAATTATGAACAAGATAGACAAGGTCCAAAGGTCCCTGTTCTTTTGGAAGTTAACATTCTAATGTGGGAAGCACAACATATAGGAAAATAATATAATGGTTATTGCTATGTTAATAGGTGGTATGATGGAGGGTAGAGTAAGGAGGGGTGGGTAACCTTCTACTGGGTGTCAGTGAAGGCCTCCCTGAGGGAGTTTCATTGGTGCTAAAACCTGAGCCTTCCTTGGAAAGATGCAGGGAGTGTGAACTGCATCTGTGTAAGTCTGACAATGTTGGTCTGTTCAAGGTTTGGAAAAGCAAGCCTGGAGCAATGTGATAGAGGCAAGGCAAGTTATGTGATCCAGGTCCTGGTAGCCTTCCTTCCGGTAACCCTGCCTTCTCAGCCTAGGGTGAAATCACCCACCGTTGCACACATACACCAGTCTCATTGACCACAGTCCACGGTTCCCTAGAAAAGGATGTTAAATTTTCACCTTGGCTTGATTTTTGAAGGAGGTGCCTGCTTTGGTAAGCTAAAATATGGTCTGGATTTAAAAGAACTGAGAGCATGGATTTGATGCTCTTAGGTATATATGAGTACCTTGTAGGTATGGAAATAGTCCTTTCATATGCCAATTTTTAGTTTGAAAAAATGAGATTATTGTGCCGGTGAAATAAAATGTCATAGTCAAAGTGACAGATCAGGCCGTTTATCCTACAGTTAGATTTTTCAAGTAGAAAGTTTGGCTGGGAGATAGCAATTTGCTACAAAGCACTCTCAGTAATATTCCCATTTTTTAAATGAGAGCTTAGTGAGTACTGCAATTTATTTGAATCTTTTGTCTGGATCTCAGCATATTTTGCCTCATTGTGGAAAAGGTGAAAACTTCCAAGTTTACTTTTGACAGTTCTGTGTTACATCATCCATTAAAAGCAAAATATATTGAAGGTATGTTAGTGTAATGTATTTCCTTGAACATTTATTTAGATTCAAACACTTTTACTAATTTTGACCAAAAGATACTATGAATCCAAATTCATTTTTTAGGGCTGGCTGGTTAGCTCAATTGGTTAGAGTGTGGTGCTGATACCACCAAGCTCCAGGGTTTGATCCTTGTGCTGGTCAGCCACCAAAAAACACACAAAAAACCCCAAACAATTCATTTTTTACTTGAGCACAAGTCTTCTTGTTTTTATTCATCAATCTTTGATATTTGTTCATTTCTATACTATATTTAATTAAAATTAGATTGATTTTAATAATGTGTTGTGAATTATAGTCTAAATGTACTTAACATTCATGTATCATTTGTAAGCAGTTTATTTATTAATGACTCAATATCTTCTCTTCTCTTTGCTATTAGTTTCCTCAAA